CTTCCTTCCTTCCTTCCTTCCTTCCTTCCTTCCTTCCTTCCTTCTCATTGTTTTCCTTTACTTTTCATTCTCCTTTCTTCTTTATTTTTCCTTCCTTGCTCTTCTCCCATCTTTCCTTCTTTTTCTTGGTCTTTCCTCTTTCCCTTTCTCCTTTCCTGTCCCTTTTTGCATGCTCAAATGCACAAGGGGAAACATTTCTCCTTTTGTTTTGGTTTTAGTTTATTTTGCTAGCCCTCTGCCAGCAAAAACAGAGCTAGGGGGGCCTCCCACAGCTTCCCCGGGCCCCATTTTCAGCTGCAATGCCCCCCCAGCCCTCTACCAGCAAAAATGGGGGCAGTTTTCACTGGCAGAGGGCTGCAGGAGGCCGTCACAGCCCAAAACAGGGTCCATTATGCCCCCAAACAGCTGTGTTTTCACTGGCAGAGGCACCAGGTCCTTTGCTGTTTCCAGGGTGGTCCCGTGAGCCAGATCTAAGCATCCCACAGGCCAGATCTGGCCCACAGGCCTTGAGCTTGACACCCTTGAGCCAGAGGATCGTGGGTTGTCTACTTAATGCTAAATCTCTCTTCTTCAGTGACAAGCCTGTGAACCAATTATATAAATAGATTATATGCAGAAAATGTTACGAGTGTTGTATGATTTATTTATAAGGCATATTTCTGCTAAGTCAAGTTTGTTGATACATCTAAGCTAGTTTTTCCAGCCTGAATGGTAGCAGTTTCCCAGACTCAAGGAAATTTTTGCCTGTCATTTGAATAGAATAGAATAGAATAGAATTCTTTATTGGCCAAGTGTGATTGGACATAAAAGGAATTTGGGTGGACTACAGGTAGTCCTCGGCTTACAACAGTTGTATTGCCACAGGCAAGTATAGGTGAAAGCAACGCTCATCCTGATGAAATTGAAATCATATACAAATCTCCTAGGTGTCTTACTAAGCCAGTTTTCATCCCAAACTACTTAAAAACAAACAAACAAACAAGATTTACCAGCACACTAAAGATATTATGATGATGAAAATATAGGTAGTCCTCAACTTATGATCACAATTGAGCCAAAAATTTCCGTTTTAAGGTGTATTTGTTAAATGAGTGTTGCCCTATTTTATGACTTTTCCTGCCACAGTTGTTAAGGGAACCGCTGCAGTTGATAAGTTAGTAACCCGGCTGGTAAATGAACCTAGGAGATGTGTATATTATTTCAATTTCACCAGTATGAGCATTGCTTTCACCTATACTTGCCTGTGGCAATAGAATGGTGGGATGGTGAGGTTACTAAATCAGCACTTGAAGTCTGGAGTAGTTTGGATGAGGACTAATAAGGTGAATTATCACTTTGGACCAGATACTTTCAGGGAATGAGTCACCTCTATAAGCAAGTGACATTCATCTTCTACCTGAGAAGATGCTGTCCCCATGAACAGATATAGAGATACTCAGTTTTCAATATTGTCACTGAAAAAGCAAATTAAGTGTAGCAAAGTATCTTTTATAATCTCAGGTCAGTATGCAGACTATGATGCTACCTGCACAAAGATGACCCAGGTTCAACAATTCATGTTGTAACACTTCAGATATGGTCCACCTTTAAAAACTGCCTGAGATCCCCAAATTAGGGCTATAGGATTGGCGTTGGTTAATACAAGATTTAGCCCTCAGCTTTTATCTTGTCCCCAGGTTTGTTTAATATCTACATAAAGCCACAGGAAAGCATTTCCCCCATCTGTTTTCATCCAAAATCAATCCAGGATTACCTACTCTGTCCTCTGCATTTGCTGACTATTGGTTTTTCCAGCTGCCCTGGGTTTTTAAATATTATTTCTGTACTGTTTTATGGATTTCTTTTCAAGGTACATTGTCCTGTGTTTTCATTATTATGCTTTGCATCGTTCTGGATGCTTTTCCTTGGCAGAAAAATAGTAACATATATTGGAAATAGGAAAACTAAAATAAATGAAACCCATTAGCCTGCATTTGTTTCATAATGACCCAATGAATCAAGCTCCATTTCAATCTATTATTTATTTATACATATTTATTTATAATCCGGCCACTTTTAAAACACAAGTTAATTACACTTGCTTCCTTCAGGTCTAGACATGGATCTTTATTTACCTGTAAGTACCTTTGCAAAAAAAAATTGCATGACAGGGAACAAGCAGTTTTAGAATTCTACCTCTGCAACAAAATGGGATTTTTGCTGGCTTTGCAACAGTACCAATAAATTCTCAACAAGGCACTTATCTCCACAAAGGAACAAACTACTGCAGGTGTCCTTGATAGAAAGTACATGCTCTACTCAGCAGATGGCAACTGAAAGAAGAACCCAGGCCAACACTGCTTCCATCCCCTTGTCCTAAGAAGCACATTTAGGGTGTACAGCTTGTCCTTGACTTATGATCAGCCACTTCGTGATCATCTGAATTTATAATGATGGATCCCCAAAATGGAACTTACAACCCAGATTCAAAGTTCTGATGTCTGCCCACTTTCCCAGCGGTCACAGGACCACATTTTGGGCACTTGGCAGTGGCCCTACTACACTTATGACCACTTGCAGTCTCCATGCAGTCATATGACCACGATTTTCAATGTTTTGCCAGAAACCAAATTTTACTTCCTGTTCTGGCAAAAACCACCCTATGGCAAACAATGGGTTTGCTTTATAACCATGATGTTGCTTTAACAACCATGGCATTCACTTAAGGATCACCGGATAAACTTAACAACTGCCACATTTGCTTAACCGCTGCAAAAAAGAGTCATAAAATTGGATCTGTTCACGTAGTGACCTGCTTTATGAGCGTCACGGTCACAGCCAAAATTGTGAGAACTCCTTACAAGACATCAACTTCATTCATAATATAAAGAATGATCTCCCTCATCAGCAACTCTTGAGCAGAGGGTTGGAGTAGAAGACCTCCAAGGTCCCTTTCAACTGTGTTATTCTGCTAATCACAGAAGAGTTGTGATGGATAAGACCATTAGTCCATCTTATCCAGTATTCTGTTTCCTAAATAGCCAA